AGAGGAGAGGAGAGGAGAGGAGAGGAGAGGAGAACTGGCTATAATCAAAACCTTGATTAGATGAGGGGTTCTTTTAGTTTCAGTTTTCCAAAATCACCACCACACTTGGTTTTGAAATTCCATCTGGATCTCAGTTCTGTGTAATTTTGTTGCTTCTTAATGGTGCCAAGCATCTGTTTTCACTACCTGTATTGTGAAGAGTTTGGCATTGTTATCAAAATCCCAGTCCTAGAGGTAGCTTGTAATAGGAACAGCTTTCATTAATGCTAACCAAAATGACTCTTACAATGACAAAGATTAATTTGTAAGTCAAATGTATTTTTGAGGATAAGAGGGCTCAAAGTATGTAAGGCAATGCCATCTAGTTATCATAGCTGATAATTCCCTACGAAATACAGCAACTCTAATCACGAGTAATGATCCCAAGATGGATTTTCTTCCTAACTTAAACACAAAGCAGGAAAATGATTATTCCTTTTGCAGTTTATAATTTTAAATCCTATAAGTAGGCACTTTTATATTTATTTTACAATTATGTATAAACAGTACCATTTTGTGCTTTTAATGATGTCTTTGCAGCTTCTAAATTTTCATGCATTTTGCAATTATAAGTTTTCTTACTTGGAATTTCCGTCTGCTTCATACACTTCTATAACCAATGCTAATAAATTTTTCATCTTCCATTGACATCACAGAGAGCGACTGAATTTCTTTAAAGAGCACCTGCCCAAGACCCATGAACACCCTCTCTTTATTTTAAGAGGGCAGTCTTGCCCTCTGCCTTGACCATCTGCCTAACATTTAGGTCCACACCTAATATTCTGTGCAAAAACGCTGTATTCCCAGGGCAGTCTTACTCATGTGCACGCTGGCTAATGAATGCAAATGCTCCCCTTCTGTGGTGGCAAAGTTAAGCTACAGAAACAAAACCCCACTTGGCTTCTTTCTGAGTTAGAGATCTAAACTTATAGCTTACTGCAGGCCACTCAGATATGAGAGGTCTCTGAAAGAATGACCAGATTATGAACTAGCAACAGCTGGACATAATGCCAAGACAGGCCCTTGATCATACATACTGACTAATTGCTTTCTCATTCCCTCATTTTGGTTTTAAACTGCCCCAGAGATCTTTCTCCTGGGCTGTGTGCTGATACATTTTGTCAGCTCTTCACTCCAGGGACCACTCCCAAACACCTCAGGTTATATCATACCTGCCCTCCCTTTCATGCTCTAAAGCACCAGTTAGGTGTCCACGACCATGTTTTGGCCACCTGAAATGAAAAGGCATTTACAAAAGGACATTTGTGTTTTAGGGCCACAGGGGATTCACAGAACTGTTACGTTTTGTGTCCGTCACTCCACAGCAAGTGAGCCCTGAGCCGGGCAGGCACAAGTCTGTACATAATGCTTGAATTCCTGACCCTCTTGTAGTTATCAACAAAGATATGGCCTACAAACTATACAATTCAGTGCTGAAGCTCTCACCTTGGATACTTGCAGCATTAAGAACTGAGACTTTTTTCTCTTCCTTTTTTTGCCCTTTCATTATCTTTTCCAAGAAGCAATGTTCCCTATTTATATACTTAGACTTATATACTTCTACTCCAAACCCTTGATTTCCATGACTCTGATGGATCGTGTTTTTCTCAAGTCTTTCCTGAGCTTCTGTCTTATCAGGCTTCAGCGCAGGTCACTAGTCTCTAATGAATTTTATGGGTAATCTGGAGAATGTTTCTAAAATGCTACAAAGATTCTGATAAGCTCTTTATTCATTATCCATCCTAAAGCGTGACTCTCTGGGGGTGAAACCACTTCTCAGGGTTGTTAGGTTGTTTAATGCTCATATATTTATTTCTTAAAGGTCAATAAGATCAGGCTGGCTGGCTTGTAAAGAAGTAACATAATTGCACCCACTACTAAAACCTGATGCAATACTGATTGTAGTCAATATGCCAGTCCTTTTTCAGTGAGAAACATCATGAGTGCAGGGAACTTCATATAAAATAGTGACTGCTCTCTGTTCCAAGAGATTTTCACTTTCTTGTGGTAAATGCTATGCAAAATGGACTGAAACAATCAAACAAAAGGTGATTTTTCCCTATGTATTTTTTTTCAGAACAAGCTACACAGAGGAGGAGCAGTGTCACTTATTTGGGATCCTATTCAAGAAGCTCTCGCTGTGACTTCTTTTTTTAATATGTTCTGAAGCTTGAAGATGTGAATTGAGAGGAAAATACAGTTAGTAACAAAGAGACTCTAGCTGATCTTGGTTGGGAAAGGAAAAGTTTTTCAGAGTTTGTTCTAGTGAGACATCTAGCTGCCCTTGTATGCTAGTATCAGTATAAAGCAGAAAGAAAATGGTTGCATACAAAGCTGAAAGTTTCAGATGCAGTTAGGAAAAAATATATTTTTATTCATCATTGAGAGCAAGCTGAAAAATCACATCCTTGCTGAGGTCCCTTTAAATATAATACATGCCTAAATTCAAGGTTCCAGCACAAATAATCAGATTATTCTCACCCTAAGAGTTAAGTGCTTTTCTGGAGTAAGATCTGTATAAGAGAAAAAGGACCAAGTCTACCCAGCTGCAATCCCAGTGAGCTCACTCCAGGTTTGAATCTACTCCAGGAAAGATAAATGGCTGCGTATCCATAATTTACAGGACTATAAATATCAAGAACGCTGCTGATGTCAGACTGGAGTGCACAGTCCTCCATCAGGTGACATTTCCGTTGGCTATGAGATGAGTGGCTTTTAGAAAAGGACTACAGGAATGAGCTGCCACAGCTTATTTTAAAAATTTCTCCTTAAAACTCTCTATGTCCCAGTTCCCGTACATTCCCATTGAGGGTTTTTAGCCTGTTTTAGCAGAGATTTTTTTTATGACATGATGTGGCTGTCACAGCTTTAGCATTTGAAAGATTAAATGCTGTCTGTCATGTTACTCGCATGGGTCTTGGTACTTGCCCCTTTACTGAGATTGCTGAGGGCTAAATTTTGCCCTGACCCATTCAGTTTTTGGGTCCACAACAGAAGTGTGGCACTTGCAGGGGAATACAAACACAAGAGGTGTCTATTCTGAGTTCATTCATGTACTGAGTTCATTCATGTGTAGTTACTAAATCTTAATTAGTTAATGACTGTTTAAGTTCCAGTTCTTGACATGTTCAAATTGTGCCTCCAAAAGGGAACAGAAGAGGTCAAAAACTTAGATATTACTTCTTCATTATAACGATGGAGTTTTAAAAACTCCAGGGCTTTTATTCTGAAACTTATTATGCATTCTTTATTTTGGCAGGTCTGAGATAAACCAGCAAACATACTAATGAAGACAAGAACTGTCCTGAGGAAATACCTCCTATTAGTTAACAAGCAGACACAGTGGCCTGGATTAGGAAGAAACATGACAACATTGTTGAAAATGAAGACATGTATCCTAAGTGAAGCCAATGGGTTCACAGAAGCCAGGGCTGTGTAACCTGCTGCTGCACATCAGGGTTCCAGGAGAGGAAATGAACATTACACATGGTGAGAGCAATGATACACCAGGGTGAGATAAATTTACTGCGTAACTGCATTTCATCTCAGAAATTTTAAAGTAGCATTTCTGTACCGAGAGTGATTCCGGAAGAACGGCTGTCCAGTGCAATGTGCCTTCCAAATGGAAAGATGATTGTCAGCTCTCTGGTTCGTTAGTTTTTATCTTCACTGATAAATGAACATTAAGTGGTCAGTTGTTGACAAAAGCCCTCTTTTTAATTGGATATGTGAACTGGACCTTACATAACCTGGCAACATATTATCATCCCTGGACCTTGTCACTCAGATAAAACCATCTTGGCTCCTACAGGATTGCGGGTGTTCAGTGTCGACATTTCTGCTGTTTGGAGGAGAAGATCCCAGACATATATGCTCTAATACAAAAACAGAAAATCTTCCAAAGTTTTAGTTTAGTAGAAATTTGCCCAAAATAGGCAATAATCAAGAGAACCACATTTGAAGCCAACTAGAGAGTTGCATAGCTTGCATGTTGGTCATAGGTCTGGAGGCAGATATGACCAAGCACAGTGAGAGTTGTTTGCAAAAGATTAGGGAGAGACCAAGGAGACCCTTAGTCAGGAGTTCTGCTGTCACTCTATCTCTCATGGGCCTCCTGGGGAAAAGAAGTTCAAGATGTCACTAAGGAGACTGTGCCCATATCTGCCAAAGCTTTCTTAGCTCGTAGTGGGTCCACTAGTAGAAAGAACTTGCCAGCACTGTCTCTTTTTTTTTTTTAATAGAGTTCCAAGATGTATTCTAAGAGAATTTCAATGGCTGTGAAAGCTAGAGTTCATGAACTGCATACTTCTCCTTCTTTTTTGTTTTGTCTTCTGGATTTCTTTTTAGCCATTGATTTATCTCTAGCTGGGAAATCTCCCAGTCTTTTGAAATACTTAAATTTTTGTTTTGGAATTGCTACAGGTCTGTATGAGGGTCAGTGAAATTCCCCATTACAACAAATAGTGCAGATGCTCCAGCTGTTCCCTACATCATACATAATAGTTCCAGCCTAGTCCCAATCCTGGCCATCACCCCACTGCTGCCAGTGCTCAGTCCTACATGAGGAATGGCAAAACATCCAGGGCCCTCTACTCAGCCAGAACTACTTTGGACAGCCAAAGTAAAATGGGTAGTTTCATGTGTGTGATTGCTAATTTAGCCCATTTCATGGCATCTGCTCACACAGGATGAGTCACCAGAGCACCTGAAAGAAGCCTACCTACTAGCAGAACAGTGACAAGCAGCTGGAGAACAGCAAGGGCAGATCTCATCTGTCTTAACATAGCTGGAACTGGAAAGGACCTGTGACCACAGCCCAAACATCCCTCCATTAGAAACAGTCCTAAACATTCGCTAGAGAGCAAAAGTTCAGCCTGTCCCTCACAAGGTGCTGTGCTGTTGCCATCTCATGCCTCATCTTTTGGGCTTCGTGGTCCTTTCTCTTCTGTAAGATACACTTCACAAATTAAGAAGCACTGAAATAGGACCAGTTTTATGGTTTGTGTTAGTAGTCCATGCAGCTCTGAAAAGACAGCTTCTGCGAAACTCAACTTGCCACATTTGGCTTGTCCAGAGTGCTCTCCTGCTCTCTGTTGTGTGATCCCACTGCTTGATGCAGTTCCAGGAGGCAAAATCATTGTAACCAAAAGAGAGTTCAAAGAAGGGAGACTGATAATAGGCCTGGTCTTAATTTGATAGCTGCATTGCTTAATTCCTAATTTATTTTGATGTTAGTTTTAATGCCCCAGACTGAGTGATAGTCTGGGGCTTCTTTGCTGGGTGTCAATGGATTTAAGTTGTTGAGGTTTTCTTTTTTGTTCTTTTTATCTATTTTGTTATGTTTCGGTTTGTTTAACTAACATAATAAAGTTGTTAATAAAGTTAAATTATTTCTGTCATTGAACAAAACAGTTCAGAATCTTTAAAGAACTGAGTAGAGATCATTCAGCCAACTTAAAAGCCTGTATTTAAATCTTACTTTGTAAACTCATTTAAATCACATGTTCTTACATATTCTGTCACTTGAAAGTTGTTTCCTTTGAAACTTTGCTCTTTATGCTTTCATACAGGAAATACGATAAACTTGTTTATTTCATTTGTCAGTTTTGTGTTTCTGAATTTCTTCATCAAATCTGTTATCTTCCTTAAGTATCCAATCCTTGCCCAAGTTATGTGCAGAGAGGGGAACGGTTTTACTGCTGTAATTCCAGTGCTGGAAAGACAAGAAAAGGGCAAGCAGAGGTACTGACTTCTGAAAGCTACAGGAAAATAAAGACATTAAATGGGCATTTTATTTTGGAGGCAATCTTGCAGGATGAGAAAGTCCAATATTTTTAGGATCATGGGATAAATTCATGTTGGAAAAGTCCTCCAGAGGTTAAATAGTTCAATTTTTCCAGTCTAATGATGCATCACAGTCAAATACTTGCTGATCTCTTTACTCCTTTTCCTGGCCTTGTATTTTCTTAGCTAACTCTACCTTTTATTGCTTTTTACTTTGAACTGGCCTTATCAAGTCATTAATATTTGCATAACAGGAATACATTTTATTTATTAGTGAATTGGGAAGAGCTAATTAGAAACAAACAATCTGTAGGCTGGAGATCTGCTGAAATCAGCAATAAAGGTAATTTTTAAAATATGCTTGTGAAGAGAGCCCTGCCACATGTGGAAGCTTCTCTTTCCTTGACTAGTGTGGAGTTTTTAAAATTCTTCAGCTCTCACAAAGGGGAAGAGGATGATAAGCCTCAGACATTAACAAACCCAGGGGAAGGAGAGAAACAACAGCTTTTCACAGCTCCATTTTGAAGGGGAAGGAAGGCTGGGAATCCCCAGGGTCTCTTTGGGCAGGAAGAGTTAGTTTAAGAAGAAAAATATGATAACTGTTGAGAAATAAGCAATTTCCAAATTTTTATTTAATCATTGCATCATTCATTCTCCAGCAAGAAATCTCTGCACTTAATGCCCTGAAGAGGAGAGACACTTTCTACTATGGAAATGTTGGTAGGGTTATCCATATTTTTTGTGCTTTGGAAAAGACAAGAAACACTATGTCTAAATGAAAGGAAAAAAGCCAGCCTTATTTGCCACTCCCTGTTTTTCACCAAATATAGATGTCTTTTCTTTTCCAAAGTCTATTTCACTGGTATAATTTCTCCTTCTGTAATGCCTCTAGTGAATTTTCAGAGAGGAATACCAAAATTGTCTCTGTTTTTATGAAAGTGGCAAGGATTGGTTACAACCATAGTGTAAAGGAAGTTACTGAGCTTACTATGGACCATTGCTAGGAAGAAAACTGCTGGCAAGTCTGTGCTCAAGCAGCCTGTGAGCAGATGAAAGGTAACAGAAGTGTTCAACAACATGCACTGACCCTCAGCTAGTTGGTGAAGTGAGGCTGTCAAACAAAACTGGGCAAACTGCACCCCCATGGTTTTGTTTTTTATTGTGTATGCCAGCCTTGGTGTTTCTGTTTATGTGGCTGGTAGCCAAAAATTATTTAAAAGGCCTTTTCAGACTGTAGGAAGGAAAAAATTCCCTTCCCCCTTTCGAACTTGGGGGTCTAACAGACTCACCCTTTCTGTCTGGATGGCAGAAACTTGGGATTAGGACTGCATCTTTCCCTAGTGCTTGCACAGTTTATATCACAAATAAATACTGATTAATACCTAGAGCATTCCACACAAAATGAGCCCAAATTTAATAATGATTGTAGGAGGATTTTAACAGTCATTAACCGTGAATATTTACTTCTATAAGTTTTCTTTCCCATGCAAAACACGCATACATGTGGATGCATTTTTACGGAGTTGGGAACTATTCAAAACAAAAGTTATTTTGAGGGTTAGGAAATAGCTTGTCTTACAGCTGCCAAGTGATTTTGGAATAACTCTTTGCATGATGGAGTGGAGGAAAGAATGGAGATAAAAACATCGGTCCTTCAGTTCAAGGAGACTAGATGTTTAAAAAAGGGAAGAGGAATAAGGAAAGGAGGGAAGGAAAAAAAAGGTTTTCACCTTCTTCTGCTTCTCCATCTAGATCTGCATTAATTTTCTGTCCTGAAAGTGGGAGGAGGAGCTCCATCTACATTCTCCTGTCTGTGCCCCTTGGCAGGCTAGATAAAAAAGGCAGGCAGCCCTTCTCCTGGATTTTTGTCTCTTTCACTTTAAGCAGGTTTGAAAGAGAGAAAGAAAACATGTATTGATGGACATGGGGAAATGTCATTAGTCACATTTAGATAAGTTTATAAATGGACAAAGTAGCTCTCAGGGCCAAACATAGGGTTGAGGTGAAACACCTGAGCCTCATCCAAAACTAGGGACCTTCAGCTGGTGTAAATCAGGTATTGTGATACATTCCAGCTGAGGCACCAGTACAAGGATTCATCTCCACAGTCTGTAAATTTCTTGACATATATTTAGGATATTATAAAATGTTAATAAATAGTTGCAATATGTGAGCATTTAAAAACAGTGAAACGCAACTGTCCCATTGATTAATTTTGTGCTTGCTTTGTGTTTTAAAGCAGGAAAAGAGGATCCTTTCCTTTACCTTCAGCACATTTTGTTCCAATTCCAGAGGATGAGGAAAGCTTTAGGATGGGCATAGCCATTATGATAAACACTGTCTGACTCCAGCCTTGCACAACCTATAAAAGTTGCAAACAGATACCAACGTTTTTATAAGCATGATGCTGCTTTATTTTAATATTGTGGATTAAGATGAGGGTAAAACAACAAAAGCAAACCATCACTCTTCCTTTCTTTTCCTTCTTTCTCTTAAAAACAAACAGGAATTTTTGAGAGGAGAAAGGATAAAACCTGTGCTATAGTGGTGCTTACCTGGGGCCAGGCCGACACACTGAAATTTTTGAAACTTTCGAAACTTTCACAAAACAATATTTTCATCTTAAAGCACCTAAAATAATTTTTAAATGGACATTAAAAGTTATAAGTATTATTATATAAAATTGTTAAAATTCAAAGTCATGCCATTAGTAAGTCTTTTGTTTAATAGATATTATTATGCAAGCTGAATACACAAACCCTCCCACCTCCACCTCCAAATCCTGGTGACTTTTTGTCTTGTCTCTCAAAATTATCATTTTCCCCAAAGCATATGAGTATTCTTTCTGGAGGTGAAGAGTACATAATATATTTAGAATGGTTAATCTGATCAATCCTGCAGACAGGTGAATTTTTTAATATGTATTTAGGCAGTCAGAGAAATTAGTTTTGGAAATACTATCTTTTCCTCCCCCAAAGTTAGCAGGAAAATTAAGCTCTGAGATAAAGTTTATCAGTGTAAAGTTTACAAAGGAACAAGGGAAGAGGAGAAATGAAAAAGAGTGTGGTGCTCAAAGAAAAACAAGCACCAAGCCTTTTAAAATTTCTTGAGTGTAAGTTGAATGGCCACTACTTCTTGGTCAAACAAAGCAGTCATCTCTACTCCTTGGTATCAGGGCACATTGCTTGCAGTTACATGAATTCTTTTGATTTGCCATTAATGGGAAACTGCTTGCTTGGATGTTGCTGTAGAGTCAAATGTCAGGGGGAAGATGCATATTCTGCAAGCACAGAGGAACAGGCACATACAGTTTGTCTTCAAAAGACATCTCAGAGTCCTTCACCTGGCCCTGTCAGGCTAGAAGGAGATGCCACACTGTGGGAAGCCTGCTGTGTGGCATTTCCTTTTATCAAACCCAGTCTCCACTTGTGAAATCTGAGGTGTGGCAGACATAGCATTGTCAGAAATTGTGGGGACAGTCAGTGTGGGCTCTCACTAAGTCCCAGAGTGCTGCTTACACCCTGAAGCTCTCATAGCCCTAGCAGCTGCAACCTATTTTCACAAATATCTGACAAGTTTCTTTGGCTTACTGCCAGTTTGAGCTGTACCAAACACTTCTCTCCTTCCCCTAGCTTCACAGTCCTTTGTAATTGCTGCTCAAAACTTAGAACATGTACCAAATGAAGCTCCTTTCCTCCCTGCAATGTGCAGACATCCCACCCCAATTAATTAACCCAACAGTGGCTTTGTCTCGTGAAAGCTGTGACTTCCCACACTTTATCCCCCTCATTCAGCTTAAAGACATCAGCACATTCCTGACTTCATCACTTGTTAACTCCCTTTTGCTAATAGCCAGTGCATCTTCTCTTGATGGCCTCCTCTGATTTGATATGACTTGAACTCTCACAGCAAAAAATGCTGAGGGCTGTTCACTTGCTATTATGGCATATAAAAATCTCTAAAGTTGTGTTTTAGCACGGCTCCTGTATCCAGAACTGAGAGGCTTTCAGACCTTCTCTGACTGTGCTGCAATGCTGCTAATCTTGCAAGCACCTGGTAAGGAGCAGCAGAGCCTGAGTGACAGCAAGATCTCTGCTCTTTTGTGTTTGATTACCAACAGTGAATCCTTTGGAAAAGTTCCAGAGGACTTAATGAAGGGGTCATTATATAACACATCAGGTGAAAAGTTATTTTCAGCAGCTATTAAAAAAAATCAGAAACCACATTCAATATAGCAGCATGATGTGTCTCCAAACAGATTTTTAGCTATGCTACCAAACCCTAGAATTTATGATACTTTTAAAAAGTTACAATTTAATTCTCTACTTATATTTTAGAATTATAAAATGTATTTAAAGAATCAAAGGGTTCTCCAGAGATCATCTGCAACACTCCTTTGCCTAAGTACAGGTTAATTCACATATGTTTCATTCCATACTTGCTTGTTCAACATGGTCCTTAAAAAACCATCACTGATGCGGATCCCCTGATGGAATTCTCTCCTTTTCTTGAAATAGATTGCATTGTTTAGCTTTGCATTTGATAGAGAGATTTTAACTTGTTTGCTCCTAGAATTTAGTGTTGAAGTAGACAGCAACAATAGCTGCTTAGAAAAGAAGTCTGAAGTACAGGAAGCTGGGAAACTGTAAAGCCATTAAATATTTAAAAAAAAAAAAAAAAGTAATAATATTCCACAAAATACTCAACTCGAAAAGTCAGAGAAAGCACATAAATTTTTAGCAGTTCATTTGACTTGGATTAAAAGTACTTGGAGGGTCAGACAATAATAAGTATTCACATAAGATTTCTTTCAGCAATCTTCATATTCAAGTATAATAAAATAAACTTCACCTGAAGTAATCAAGACAAAAGTTCCTGAAGTCAGGGATGTTTTAAAGTGAAAAAATGTTATTTGTCCTTTTCACACAGCACAAACTATATTCCAATCATTTCTAGCTGTTTTTTTCACCTGTTCAGAGGAAAATCTAAAGACAGATTTGTTTCTAAACCAATAACCTTGAGTTAGCAGAGGTATCCAGCCCTGTCACTGAAGGCTGTACTTCAGCATAATGTTTCCTTACATCATTTTATCTTCTTACAGAATTAATTATACTCACCCTTGAAAGTCACTACAAAATCAATTGAATAGCTGGCATTTTAAAACTGTTGCTAGAGTTTATGTCTAGTAGATACTTTAGTACATGATCTGTTCCTCTCCAAATAAAATGGTCCAGAGTCTCCTGTGCTTCCATCACTCCCTGTGTCCAAAGAACTCTTCATTTTGTATGACATCACACTATATTTCTTGGCTCTCAGTATTTACTGCAATTTTGCAGGTGTTTATCACACCAATGTCACCAGACCAAGCTGTTACTGTTACTAGCCTTCCTTTCTGCTTCAAGCTCTCTAGGCCGGCTTGAGGGGGAACAAACTGGCTCTGAATAGGATTGTTCCAAGCCATTCCCTTTCTTTCCTTTAAGCCTTAGTTTCTGCCAAGGGCTGGACTGCAAGGAGGAAGAAAAACATATGTGAAAGCTAGCAGTCCTGCCTGATGGTTGCTAAGAAGTGTGCAGACAGCTGTAAATTAAAGCAATCTCTGTTACATTTTACAGCAATGTCCCTCTGAGCCAAAACCTGAAGATGAGAAGGTGCTGCTCACTTTGGGTTGTGAGTAGAGGAGCATCACAGACCTTAAACCTAAATATCCTCAGCAATGATTTTTCTCCCTTCATTCTAGACAAGAGATTGCCAAGACAAAACTGTAAGGAACAAATCAATGAATATACACGTTTCACCTGGTAATTCCCTATGTTTCTGTACCTGCTGTGACATTTCCCAGAAATTATTGCAGTCGTGATGCCTCCAGTTGTGACAGGACCTAGGACTGCAGGAACAGGTCAGCAGCTGACATGCAGGTTGGGAAAAGGTATATCCAGCCTGAGGTCCACATCTCAGCTTCTAAACACTAGTTTTCAGGGGGTTGGATCAAATTTTCAGTTGGACTATGCATCAAGTTGGTTTTACAAACCAGGTAGCCAAGACATTTACCTCTTCAGCCATGTCCCTTTGGAACTGCTGTAACATGGAATTTTGTATGTAGAAAGAACAATGGCTAAGCCCATTTTTTTCGTAGAATATTATAGAGAGTACCAGTCAGAGAGTCTTTACTGACAAGCATTTCACAACTATAGAGTGAAAATTAAGTCCATGCCTGCAGAATACTTTCTTACAATCTACGTAGATTTTGCCCTATGAACAGTCCTTCACATTTGCATGTCCTCCTGCTTCCTTTGAAACCAGCACCAAAACTTCCAACTAAATGAGAGTTGAAATCTGTTTATAGTTTGTATGTTTTCTGTCAGAAACAATTGGACACAACAGTAAAAAAGTTTTCATCATACCTGTAACTTATACTTTTGTTAGGAAGCAAAAGACGAGTTTGACTTCTGATGATCGGTATGTTTGCCTCTTCATTGTAAAATGTAAGTAACAATAACATAAACCAGCCCTGTTTAAACTCTTGTTTATAGAATTCAAGTAGTATTAAATTTTTTTTAATAGTTGGCCTAGAATAAGCATTAAAGTAGCTTTCATGCAACTCATAATGCCAAAAAATAAATGCAATTCTGCACATTCTTTCCTGAGAGCATCCACAAATGACGTGCAAGGCATACACATTGGCCAGAGGCCATGAGCAAAAGCATTGTGTTAAAACTTTGTATGACATCAAGCCAAAAAACTACTTAGCATTTGTATCTCAGATCTCAACTGAATTATGAATTAAATAACCAGATCAAAACAAAAAGCATACAGCACACTACATCCTGCATCTTGGTTATACACACACATATACACATGCGTGTAAGTGGCATGAATCTGTTGTGAATGGATAAAACCTTGGTGTTCTTGTGTGTGTGCACACTCAAATGCAAGACAAGGACAAAAAAAATGTTTGGAGCTACGTTCAGGAAAGAACACACTCCCTATGCCAATACGTGGATTATATCCCAGGTGGGCTCCCTCTGGTGTTGAGAAGATAATGTATTTCCCCATTCAACCTTATTTCTTTATATTCATCAATGAGCGTGTTAAAAAGTACTAAATGCAATCATGGCTCTATTATGGCAGAGTTCCTTATTCACATAGACCCTTACGGATGGTATAGAACAGTATGGTTTTTCTGCTACTCATCCAGCGTTCATTAATAATATATGAGCCATACACATATATATGTATATGGATATCTGTGCACTTTACTACACTCAAGCAGCTTTCCATACATGTACAGATCGCTTCTCGCCTGAGAGACAATGCAGTGCCAAAGTGTGAAACATGTTATCTGTGAGCAGTGTAGCTCTTCGCAGTTAAACAGGAGAATCTGAATGCCCAGAAAACAGCAGGCCCTGCAACAGCAAGGATTCGATTCT